GAGGCATGAACACAGACGGTTTGTGATTTTTTGTTAGGAATATCTACGATCCAGGTCAGCAGCGTTCCTCTTATACCAATTTCAGACAATATGCAGATTAGGCGTTTGAGTAGGACACTAGACAACGTCCTTTTGAAGTTCGTATGGATGACATCAGACCTACCATCCTCGTCCAGTGTGCGAGTCCGCTGATCGGTCGGAAGCAATTAACTGAAAAGGCATGAGTGGTTCTGTTTGAAGCCATAATGAAGCCCTGTGTGTAAACGGTTCACCCCGGGGATTTCAATGTTTCCTTCTTAAGTAAGGTTTCCGTTATCTTACAGCAAATGCATGTGAGACTAACGGGCCGGCATATAGCAATTCTGTACTCCCGACCTCTTTGTGGTGGACTTAACGCAGTCATTAATCGAATGAGGAATGACTTGTTTAGACTTAGCCAAAGACCTGCGTTAGAAAACCCGTTGATGAGACTTAGGGCTATCAGCATCATTAAGAGTTAAGGGTTCTCTTGGTTTGCATTAAGCCCATGGCGTCATTCTTTCCCAACCTTGAACCTAGTCTTTTAAAATTTAAAAATGTGCACTTTTATAATTATATTCAACTTCTTGTCGTTTTTGCAGTTCGTGTGTTAAAACCCTAAAGATTTTCCACTCATTGCGACTTCTCTGCCTCTTCGAACTTAGACTGAGGTTCGAAGAGCAAAAAGCCAGTTTAATACCTCATCAAGATCGTTAAACCAGAAGCAAAAAGTACCAAGGAGCTTTCTGCCGTTTATTCTGCTTTTCAGCGTCTAAAAACGGTTAGCCGGCATTGCGTCATGGTTTTACTAGGCTGGAATTGAAACCAGTAAGACGAACGATTTGAGCTCTTGGTCTGATTGTTTCGTCTTCTCTGCATCCCTTTGTCTGCATTGTTCCATAGTGTAAGACAAAGGAAATCATTTATTTAATTTTTTGAATTTATTTATTGAAATTCATTGAATTTTTTGCCATATATCCTTGATCCACTTTGTTTGTTCGAAGGACTTATTCTGTGTCGGTAGTTTTATTACATCTGACGATTTCCCCCGGCTTAAGTCAGTCGCACTGAGCGTTTTAGCTTGACGTTGCAGCAAGATTTTCCCCGTTTTTGTTTCTGTTTGCTTATATCGGTATCCTGGTGAACCATCCATTTCTGTACTGTGCGCCAGTACTGGCGTCAATACGTATTGATGGCACTAGGTCTCTTGCAACAGGCAACCTACCGAAATGTTTATTCTTAAGAATTGACACACTTTACTATTATTACTATTAGTGTAACATGCCCGGACTATCGATCAAGTTTGCGCATAGCACGTAGTTTCACGGCTTGCGCGCCTTATTATCCCCTCGTCCTGATGAAAAACGACTCTCGTTCTATGACACTCTGGTTCCATGAGGTGATTGAACAGGCGTGGAGAGACGAGGTTGCTCCTGATTACCAGGGCTCGGGATCCCATCCACCTATCCCCAAGAAGGCAGATAAGACAAGATGCAAGAACTACCGCGGCATAGGCCTCAGCGACATTGCTGCGAAGATCTTCGCTATTGTCTTTCTCAGTCGATTCCAGGCTGCGCATGACTCTAGGACGAGGCCTAACCAAGCCGGATTCCGTGCTGGAAGTGGATGCGCAGACCAGATATTCACACTGATGCGCATTCTTGAATTTCGCCAACAATCGACAGCCGTCTGTTTTGTTGACTTTCCTGCTGCGTTCAATTCCGTCCGGCACTAGATTATGTACCACCAAGAATCATAGCCATGGTCAAGGCCTATTGTCGCTGCACCACTGCCCGAGTTCTGGTCCACATCAATCTTTCCCGACCGTTCGGTATTCGGTTTGGCGCTCGACAAGGTTGCATCATGTCCCCCATTCTGTTTAACTGCGCCATTACTTGGATTCCCAAGAAGGCCATACACGAAGATGACGATGTTGAGTTTGCATCCGGACACTGGCTGACTGATCCCGGTTGTGCCCATGATATCGTCTTACTTGTCTCAAGTTTTGGTGATCTGCAATCTATGGCGTCACGGGTGATCAATGTTGCTAAATCGGTCGGTTTATCCATAACTGCTGGGAAGACCAAATTGTTTTCAAGCTGCACCTCTTACCAGGAGAAGGTGCGTCTCGAGATTCATGGCTGTCAACTTGAGGAACTGTCTAGATCTGCTGCCGTGGATCGTCACGTGTAGAGGAGTACGGTTTAGGCCACCATCGAGGCTGGCTAGATCAGGTATGATCGCATCCATACCAAGTACATATACGAGTACAAATATCCCAACACATATGGGAAGTCGACTCAGTTCCGTTGGATTGTAGCAAGACTGTTTCGCCTACGATCGAGGTAAACCGTAACGTCCAGACTTGAAAGACGTCAGTCTAACCAAAATCGCTGCAAAGATATTCACGATTGTTATCTTGAACCGTTTCCATCCCTTTAGAGAGGCGTAAAACAAAATTATGCACCAAGGGCTTTGCTTCCAGCAGTCGAAAATTTTATCTTTGACTGATTTTACTATGACTTTCAACTCCATTGAGAGAGAGAGAGATGACTTCCAAAGGTTCATGGGACTAAAGTTTTTTCTCGTAACTCTTGAATTTAATGCACACATGTTATTAACTCATGCAAACAAATTTGGAACCTCATAGAAATAGCTTCTGTCGATTTATTTTAGTTATAAAATGCAATGCCGGTCTATGTCGGCAGAAATACCCTTTTTAAATTGAATGTGATTTACGGAAAACGCCTCAAGTTTGCCCTAAACACTTATAATTGCCGGGTCCCTTTTATGACTTAGATTTCTGTCTGTCAGAGTATGTGTTCAAAAATATAACACCGACATGTTGCATCTAGGGCGCATAGTGTTGCCAGCCAGTGTTACCCATGCTATGCACTTGGGGTTGGAGTTGCACACAGACCGGAGGCCACCATGAGGCGTCAGGTGATGAGACCAAGAAACATCTGGAGTCTTTTACCGGATCTGCTGCAGTTGCGGACAAAGCAACTACGTCGGAGAAACTGGAAGACTGCTCCGAACGCGAATTGCCGAACACGCGGCAGCGGTACGGAGAAATGACGCCAAATCTCAGGTCGCGGCCCATTCGACGAGGCCCGGCCACACATTAAAGTTCGATGGGGCCGAAATTCTTGCGAGTGGGGATAATCGCGTGAGCCGCGAGTTGCTTGAGTCATGGTTCATGGGACCTCAGTCTATCAACAAGTGCAACGACATCCCCACTCCATATTCCGTGTTGAGGCATAGGCTGGCCAAGGTAATTGACCACTCGGGGAGCGCGCAAGCCGGTGAGCCAGATGACCGAGCAATCATCACGCCACCATCCAACACGGGTGATAACATTTCGGCAATTAACAACTTGCATGTCTGCCATCAAGCAATTAACGCATCAGCGGGCAACAATCCTTGATGAAGGGGAGCACGGTTAATTGCTATAGGTATGCGGTAGCATAGCGACTGCATCCTATAAATACTGCAACTTCCTGTACACGAGTCACCCTTTTTTGCCACTGTCTCTGATGATGGATTCAAGTGAGAATCCGAAACGTCAGCCGAATAAAGCCCTTGTTCCAGCGATCGCTCCTTCTTCTGATCAGTCGAAGACTAGTTCTCGACAGCTGTCGATCTCAGCAGCCTTCTTAGATCCGACTTAACTATAGCTGTTCGCGTCAGCATTTGACCGCTATGCTGAAGGCACCAATCCAGGCATCGTTTCAGCGCGATAGCGTGGCGGACAAACTATTCCACGTAGTGGAGGACTGACTGGTCAAATCGTCTGAAGCAGAGACTTTGACTGCCTCAACCGCTGTCGGCAATACAATTTCAGTGCTCGAACACTGCTCGTCTGTCTTTTTAGAAATCGTTATTATCGGTTTCTAAGATTGTTAAGGCCACATTTCGCACCCGTGGTACATGGTGAGTTGACGGCGGTCTCTTATATTTGGATGTTCTATGACTTGGTCGAGTCGGTAGAAAATTCTGCTTGCAAGTTGTGTGTATGTGCGCTAGGTACAGTGTCCTCCTAATGCAAACTTAATTGTTCCAAGATCGATGGCAGCATGCATGTCCTGTTACTGCGGCCCCTCATAGGGTTCAGTCCATTTTGATTTTTCTTTCCACTACATTCATCGAGATGCGGACGCGACTGGTGTCGACACTGTTAACCTGCCAGCCGGACCTTTCTTTTCTTATGAGGGGGCGGGTAGAAATGCGTTGCCACCGGCTCGTGATTCAGACTTGTCGAGCAACACTGACTGAAGAATGTTCAACCACTCGAAATTAGAGTCACTGCAGCTCACGGCCGGCCGTCGTTTGGGTATTTTTCTCCCTTTACTTCCCGATTTAAAGCTTGATATTTTCGTCAGTAAAAGGCGACGCGCGGTCATGATGGAACGCTGCAGGAGGAATCGTCTCAAAATTCCTACCGGCAACAGCAATAGATACTGATGCCTGTCTTTCTGCACCTTAAGTAGCAGGCCTCTGCATGCATTGTCACCTTATTAGTTACACAAAACATATAATGTTGGACATTGTCTGACGCTTTTTAGAGTACAAATATGCTCCGGCCAATAGCAAGACTGCAGTTTTGTATAGGGGGTACGGGTGCATCCTGTGGAAATCTTGATAGCGAACGTCAGAAGCTTTGCATCTTGCGTTGTTAGCGTTGATTAGGTCTATTTTGCCCGTAGTTTTGACCTCATCTGCCTTTAAAGAGCATACCCTGTCTTCGTCTAGGCTACGTTAACGTAATAAAACTGTCTTTTTGAAAGTCGTGCATGCTTTTTACACGTAGCAGAAAAAGGATTTAGGTCGTCTGCCTGGCGTGTATCTTACAAGTGTTTTTGTCTCTTGTCTTAGTGTGATCATTTTTCATGGATCGACATGCGAGCGGAGATACCTCTTCTGACTCCAGTCACAAGGGCCTCGTAGATCTTAATATTGACCTCTCAGACCTCATTGATGATATGCTTGCGTTGGTCTACATGGAATCTGGTATGATGCCTTCTACTTTTGACCCCTCTGCTAGTATCGGGGTCGGCTGGTGGAAATGAGGCTGGAATCGCAAACGCCACCCTGGCCAATCGGATAGCGCTCGTACGAGCCTCAGTTCAAAAGGCCCAAGAGGCGTGCAAGCATCTGCAAGGCTGCGATCTTGATCTTCAAGCCCAGAAAAACCTCCTCACGGCCGTGGGGACCACTTGCATTGCAAAACGGCAGCTTCTGTGTGATTTAAAACGCGAGTTGCAGGAACTTACTTCTCAGACTGACCCTTATTCTATGTGATTGTTCACTTTTTGTACTTCTGTCTTGCCAGTACAACTGTTTTTCAACTGTTATTTCTTGATAGTTTTTGCTACCATCCCTTGTGGAATGAGAGTGATGTAATAATGGGTGCCACTTCTTGTCAAGTCGTTAATCTGAGAAATTGGAGTAATTACCTCTGTTTTGGGGCCGGCAGCTAATCGATTCGCGCCGAGACAATAAGCCCTTCCCCTTAGCTAAGGTGACCTTTAGCCATGCTATCTTGTTGGGGGCTCCTCGTACTCATTTTCCGAATTCCTTTTCTCTTTTGTCTGTATTTCTATCTGTTCCAGTGTCCGAAATAGTTAGCAAAATGAATATTGCACCGAAACTCATGGAAGATTGACTGACATTTCAAAACAGACACACAACTATCAAATATTCCTTGCGTGAGGTTACAATGCTCCCAGCTTGATTCGTTCACGGTAGAATGTTGGTTTTTGTCCTTCAGAAGAGCAGTCTAAACCGTGTGAATTTTGCTTACTGAGCTTCGATGTCTGCACAAAATATTTTTATTTTTATGCTCCATTTGCAAGTAATTACGTCTTGAAGCACTGTACCTGTAATTGTCGGTGGTAATGACCCCTTCCCACTTCCTTTATATTTTTTTGGCATTACCGGCATGCCTACGCTTACCACACTGTGGGACACAAGGTGGACATCGGTCGAAATGCCACCTGCATTTTCACCTCGTAAAGTTCTCAAACCACGCACTACATCTTTGTCTGAAGGCGTATTTATAGAAGCCCTAAGGTCCCTCTGAAGATATATACTATGTTTTTACAAACCCTTGCAAAAGACATGGACCAAGTCTTGAGGGCGTTGTAAAAGAAATAAGAGGATATTTGACTGCATGAATAATCACGCAAGTCTCAACATGCCTAATCATTATAAGCGTTGAAGCCGGTGTGCACCGCACCCGTGCCTCGGACATTGTATTTGAAGAAGACTTAATTTTGCATTTGTTTATCCTTTCATAGAAAATCAGTTAGAAATGCGTGTGGCAGCGGACACTTGGTTGAGTACACAACGCGGACTGCACCGCGAGGTGCTATACTTGAAAAAACCACTGTCTTACAAAAGCCTTAAAGGGTTTGTGAACGATTGTTAAATACGAGGATTCTTGACAGGCTCTGGAATCCCATTCTACCCGACACATTTGTGTTATATCTAAAATAGCTGAATCAGTAAGCCTGTTAAGAAATGGGAGATTTTCTCCAAAGAACCGGTGCTACCTCTGAAGAGAGCAATGCTTAAGAATCCAGGACCGACACTCCCACGTCTTTTTATAGAAAGATTGATGATATAGTTTGTTCGTGCTTTAAAAAGGAAGAACGCTGCCGGTAATCCCTCCCCAAATATTTCGAGAATTATGGGAGTTGCACGTGATTAGAGCACTGTTGAATAATTTTTTGAAACACTTCGAGGACGGTCCAGAAAGTTCAGATCCAGGAAAAGGCTTGAAGGCAATGAATATACTTAAAGACGGAACGGGAGTCGACAAAACTGACTCCGTTCTATTGGTGGTGTCGAAAAGGTCACGTGGAATCACTGCTGCCAATACCCTAGGCTTCTACTAAATTCAGTGCACTCTACTTAAAAAAAATCAAGTTGACCTGCCTGTATTAGGTGGACAGGATGGCCAATACCAGGGAAGGTGCCTTAGTTGGTATGCAATCCCGTTCCAAGTGATTTGAAGGAGTGTCCTTTCCTGGAAAACTTTGCAGGACAGGGGGGTCTACGTTGCTGCCTGTCGAAAATGTCCTTGGTGTTTTGATGGGGATCCGGAAGGAGTAGAAGCTTCGTTCAGCTTTACTTCCTAATTGTGCCTCACTGGAAAAGCCTGCTGATCATGATATCGCTGTCGTAACCGGCCGTTGCAGACGTCTATACTTGATGGGTGCCGTTGTTTTTTCACATCCAAAAACGGTCAAAACTAGAAGTTGCAGCGAACAAGTAAAAGTATCGACAAGGCGGAGAGCAGTTCGGAAAGGCGAATTATCTTGATAATTGCATGAGAGGGCATCATGTCGGCCGCAAATTCTAACTGTCTTGCATAATTTGGACCAGGAATTGCCGTCTTTAATGTGGTTGGCGACGATAGCGGAACGGACAGTTCGTTTTTTCTGCATAGTTTTTATGAAATATCCATCAAGGGTATTAAGCAATTCGTTTAAATCGATACAAATCCAGAGGGATCTAATCCAGCCATTTCGGAATAGCAACCATGCATCTAGTGGAGCCGTCGCTGATCCTAGTGGTGTTGATTTTAATAGTAATAAGTAAGAACCACTAGTTCCTAGCCTTGTTTTTAAAGCTACAGGGTTGAAGTACTGTGTCATACAGACTTGGAGATCTCATTAGGACACGGTGCCGCTGTCAACAGTGTGCAATGAATGTACTCCGCTATACAGTCCACGACTTTGTTTCCAGGTGCTACTGAGCCTGAAGTACCCCTTCTGCCATCTGAAAATGCGTACTCAGCGAGCCTTTTACCACACGAGTTTGAAATGTTTTCGGAGTGCGGTTTCCACCAGCTTTAAAGGTGCTGCCAACAACTTTCATCCCATTTTGTAGATAGTCTTGAGGCATTTTAGTAGCATTGCGTCCTCATTTAAGCGATATTCGCCATTCTTATGCCTACTTAAGATTGCTCTTTAATGTTTCATGAGTTTTTGATGCACAATATATGTCGAACTACTTCTTAGTGAGAGATCCATTTGACGCGGTTCGAAATTTTTGTCCTTTTTGGTAACCACATGTTGCGCAACCGTCGTTAAGAGTCTACGCGATGTACATTGAAAACGCTGTTCCCCTTTTTGCTGTGGTTAAGTCTAGCTTGCCTCCGAAAGCCTGCCGACTATTGAAGGAATTGTCAGTCTTCTGAGTTTGGAACTCGACGTACGACGTTTGGAACGGAATGTCTGATTAGTAACTGCACTGTATTTCACTGTTTGAATCAGTACACGATTAGGAACGGAAAGATCAAATCGGTGCAATGCGTGCCTGTCCTTGTTATCGCAAAGTCTCATTAAACTGATTTCCTAGATAGCCGGGTTATATGTCTATGGTTTTCCATGCTTCTCATCGATGATAGTCTAATGGGATCGGCAGTGGTAGCTTGCACCAAAAGCCCGTCTTGAGGTGAATCTGGTGTCTATTTTCACTTTTGAAACAGTGTTTACAGGGTTACCGGAGATTGCGTCACCGAGTTGAATGTTTGGGACGATGATGACTAACACATTCTTCTCGGGCCTTGTGTGGAAATGGGAACGGAACGATTTAAGCCTCTTCGCTATTAGAACAAAACTTGAAGACGAGTTGGCTCATTTTCAGACTTCGCTCGCTACCAGCCAGTGATGCATCCATCCAATAAAGCCTGGCTATTCGGTTTTATCTCCCTGGTCTTAGATTTCAAAACTCGCTCTTATTTATTGTACCTTACAGACTTATTTAAGGAACGCGGAATGGAGATTTCTGAAGACTCGAGTGCCTAAGGTCCTTTTATGCACCAACGTCAACTCCTTCCTGATTTTAGGTAGATTTGCAGTTGGGTGTGTGGGTGTCAAGGGCAGGATTTACTCTGTCAACCCTGTTATTATTGCTCTGACCGGTGAAGAGCGAAGAAATCCACGGTTCCTAGTCTTTCCTGTCTCGTTCAGAATCACATCGGCATACGCTAGTGCGTCAGCCCTCATCTTTGTCAGTCTTGCTTTCAGACCACCTCAAATGGTTACATTTCGATGCTTTGAACCCATCGCCCTACCCCGGTTGCTTCAGTAAATGCAAAGAATCGTCTCACACGAGCAGCAACCTGTGATTTCGCAGAACTAGAAATGCAATCAATGTAGTCAAATCTAGCCAATCCGCTGAGCTTGAGCACGAGAGGGCCTTTATTGAAGCTCCCCAGCATATTTGTCGCCTGGGAGTTCAGGGCGATGCGTAATTCAACAGAGGCCGAGGAACAGGACCCTGCTAATCCGAAATGATGTTAGTAAATTAAGCGGGACTCTTTGGCCTCGAAGCATTTTAAGTTTTGTTTTGAGCGACTTCCTTTGATTAATGCACGGCATTGACATGCTGCCACTTTCGTGAACCCTAAACAATTTTCAAAGTAAGCAAACATTGGGTTCCCTGGTTCCCTATGGCCCTTGCGTTTGGCCTGAAGTGACCTGTCAGATGGGGTACCATTGGAAAGACTAAGGCGGTTGTGCGTTTAGGGAACTTCTCCCTCCGCGTGCTCTTATTTTACATCCGGATACTATATGCATGAGCATACTACATTATTGAACGAATCACTAGCGAACGTTCTTAAATATTTTTTTGAGTCTTGACTTGTTTTTCGTTCATTTTGGCTCTCCCTGCCTTTCTTGTCATACAACATCTTCCTAAAAGTGCTCATTCACCCTTCGATTGTGGTCGAAGTTCTAGTCACCAGAACTCATTTCCGGCAAAATATCCGTTTATACAGAGTCCTCAGGACACCCCTCATATGCTTGTGATAGGACGTTATCAGTCTAACAGCGGCAATGATCCACACGTGCCTTACCTCCCCCTCCTCCACTGATGATGATTTCGTAACTTTCAGATTGTTGGCTCTCACCTACCTCCTTCGAAGTACTAAAGTTTCTCAAGTCATAATAAGAAACGTTTATGCTTGGGTGTATGTTATTTTGTCCGACTCTCATAAGCTGCTGTCATCGTCAATTCCACCTCTCATGTCATTCGGCCAGCGCAACAGGTAAGTTAAAATTTTCTTTCTCGACGAGGACTAGCAGACGACAGGGGGACTTGTTAGTCAGAACGAAAGCCAATACTGGTAACTGTGTTGTGGACCTAAATCAAATTAAGTTAAATCTTTCGACATAATCAGAGCTCGCTTGAACTCCGCGTATTTGAACCTTTCCCCCCTTGTCAATAATGCGAGACGACCTCTCGGCTACCAAGCGGTCCTACACCTTGACCTATAATCACAACACGTGGAGATCGAAGCCAGAGTTGCCTGGAAGTTTAGACTACCTTTTTAAAGTCTTACTTAAGTCCTTTTGGTGTTTAAGCCGACAGTTCTCCGCATGCTTACATTTGTAAACTCCCACCCTTAATTACACTGTACTTGTGGTTGATGTTCAGCCTCTGTGTCTAACATATTTCTCTTTTTGAGGTTGTAGGTGCTCCCCTCTCCGTCATATGGAAGAAACACAGCAAGTGCCCTATTCCTCCGTGCTGCGGATTTATTGTGGCACGGATGTCCCTTTCACTGGAGTGTTCTGCACTCTTGACCCCGTGTCGGGCAACATTGTCCTCTGTTCTCTTCCTGACAACACTGGTGGCGGTTCTGAGACTATTACGATCATCTCGGGCTGGTCTATCACCAAGGTTGAGGTATTTCCCTTTACCCTTTCAGGGACCTTCTTATCCTATTCTACGTACTTCGTAGGCTATGTCATTCATCCTGAGGCTCCTGGTTGAGGACGAGACGATAATTGCTTGCTGTGGATCAACTTGAACAGCCCTCTTGCTCCTTTACGTTGTGAACAAGCAAAGATCCTGTTATGGGTCCTGGTTGGGGTTCAGACCTCGGGCTGAAGTATCACCGGTTCTGACGACAAATAAGTCAGAAATGACAATCTGGGTAGCTAATATTGTTCAGTTTAGTAACTTCCTAATTTAAAAATTTCGTAAGGATACAGTGTGGTAGTTTTGTGGTCCGTCGTTGTTCCATAAGGGGGGCCCAGCGGTGGCCGCTGCGCGAATTCACTTGGTGTGGCCGACTTGTGCAGCATCTACGGCGCCAACCGTGTCCCGATGGCAAGGTGAAGTCAGGACGACCGAAGGTGGGCTAAGGTGAAGTGACAAGCCCCTTTACGCGTGCCGCGGGCGGCCTGTTCTCGATTCCGCATGTGCCAGGCTGTCCTAGATGATTCGCTCCTCACGTGCACATCCTCACATGCGGCGCCTCGCTCGTCGTACTGACGTTGGAAATTTACGTCGCACGTGTTTTGCATGAGCGTTGTGTGGTGTGTGGTCGATCGTTTTGCCACGCGGTAGATGCGTTGGTCATACACGAGGTCCAAATGCGAGTCCGGCAGGTGTTGTCGGGATGGGCACCCATAACAAATGTCAACGCTGGGGTATGGTGGCTGGTCCAGCTGCCGGTCCACGCCGCGCCAGTCGCGATTTGTGCTCTCCCCTACTTTTGTTGTGGTATAGGATCCTGGTCATTGTACATTGTGGACCAGAGGGTGTGGTAGCACCCCCAGTTGCGGGTTTACGCTCCACTAGCCTCCTGTGTCCTCTCCCACCTCCCGTCTTCTTGACTCTGTCTTGACACCGGGCCAAGGTGGGGGAGGAGGAGGAGGAGGAGGAGGAGAGAGTGGTAGATGCAGCGCAAGCCTACTATCACTGTAAACTGATTCACGCGAAAGCCACCGTCCCGGCTCTCACCCTACTGTGGCACACACGATAGACATCGTCGGTCACTACGTTCCAACTGTCCTGGTTCCCTGTTTTCAGTGCGACAAATTCTCAGGTGACTGACCAGGCCGTTGTGAGATCCGAAAGTGCGGTATCGATGGGCATAGACTGGGACTGGATCCACATTGCTGGCAGCATGAGTAATGATGATGGTGTTTGGCATGATGGTAGGAGTGACCGTGCTTATGATATTATCAGTGGTGCTATTCTGTGAGATGGGAGGCTGGTTTGTTGTACCGACATTGTATTGGATCCGCAGACGTCTGACGAGTCCAATCCGTTGGCAATGTGAACATGATGGCTAAGTTCAGATGCTTGCATCGTCACTTCGCGTCACTTCAGACTTGTGGGCTTATCGTTTTGCCTAGCCCTCTGTTAGTTGATTGGCCCCAAAGATGGCTGCTCCAGTCTTTTAGGAAGCGCCTTTCGCCTGCTGATTCTGTGCGAAACCCCAGGTCACAGGCCTCATGTGTAGGCACTCGTGAGTGGTTTTCAGACTGTCCTTGTTTCTTTAATGTTGTCCGCCTGGTCTGTCGTCCCGCGTATTGACGCCGCCATAGAATTACGGCCCGGACAGGCGGTCATCATTCGTCCCCACGAAGTGCCTTCCCCATTGCGGTTGTAACCGCGTCAGCATGGAGCAAGCAGTGAGGACGTCGGTTCCTTCTAGGACTTCAGTGTTTTTGGATTTTTCCTGAGGTGCAAATGGTTGTGTTCTGCAAACTGTCCCTGTATCCGTCCCGCACGGGAGCGTTTTCATGACAAGAGTTGTGTGCATCCCCGGTTTCGCGTTGAAGAGGATGCCGCGACTATTGTAGAGCGATTTTTATAGTCTGTCGAGGGCGTGACTGACTCTACAGTCCCTATGGGCAATCGTGTCGTCGATTTTACTATTCTTCTGAGATGGTGCTGTCTGGGCACTTGTTTGCTGTTGTGACGTGAGTTATGTTTACAGTTACTATGGGTCCGTTGTGCCCGTCAGTTGACATCGATTAATACTTGGCTATTTTCTCCTCCATGCCAATAGTCAGTCCTGAGTTTGTTCAACCGAAGATAATGTGATCCACGCCTCTCTGCAAGCCTGTCCTTGTCATTGTCTTTAGCGTGCAATCATCCGTGGACTAGAGGTCGTGGCTACTGGCCTTGGAAACTGTCATTGAAGTCTGCATGCGTCGGATGTTGGGCAGTTTTCCGTTAGTCTGACAGCCGATGTTTATTCCTGGTCTCTTTCCACGGACGGTGGCCATCAGCATTGCTGAGATATGATGGGGGCAAGCACACAACCCCGTCTCATTTTCGAAGCCGCCTCGTTGTCCATGACACATGCCATAATCCAATCGTGTGACTTCCTTACCATTTGTGTGAATCGCACTAGACATCTGAATTTCTGCATGATTCTTCAGATTCCATCGCGGTTCACTGTGTCACAGACTTTCGTCAGCTCCACGAAGGTAGTGTAGAGTCTGGTTTGGAATCTGCATGATGTTTCTGCAGGGAGTCTCTGCTCCAGATACATGGCTCAAGCGATTGAGTAATAAGTTCGGCTCCTAGAACTGGCTGCGCTGCAGGTGCGTTGAACTAAAAGCGCGTGTTCGACCGGCTCGAGGCATTCGTTTATCGGGCAACGCAGGAGTCCATAACTACTGCCGCTCAAGCGTGTGGTGGCACGCCTCAGACCTAGGCCTTCACACTGGGTCAGCCGCTGCGCCTACACTCACCAATAGTTGGTTTCGGGGCTCAGAGAGTCGACTAGTTCACGGTAAAGGTAAGGGGGAGTAAAGTCGACACCTGGGGATCCGTTCTCATGGCAACTCAGCGCACTCCGTGCTATAATAAAGCTGACACGCTTGAACCTATCATGACGGGCTCTGTCAGATGGATCATAAGTACTTGATCAGATCTCAATTAACCAGTACCTCGCCAGCTTATCTTCTTTATTGTTAGCCTCGGCGCTTCCGTAGCTGCTTTTAGTGCTTTTACTCCATCCGTTTCACATGACTTACCGTCTGCGTTTCTATTATGAAGGTTGTGGAGGACATCAACTGCCCTCAGAGCCTACGCGATCGCCTTGAGCAGATTTTCGCCAAAAATCGACTCTCCATCTCCTCACAGATTGCGAGTGATGGTTGCGGTGACAACAGCGTCCCATCCTCGGGACCCTCTCCACTTGCTCGGAGGGAGGCTATCCTTGCGCACTTTTCAAACGCCTCCATTCCGGTCGAGGTCAGGAATGAAGACGAGTCTATTAGTATCTACTCCGGCGTTGTGGTCATCCAACCGCCATATCTGCCCAGCTGTTGTCGCAGCAGCAATGCCATTGTGCTAAAACGTGTCCAGGATATGCTTAATGCCCTGAAAATTTCCTAATTCACTGATTCCTTTCTCTGGTCCAAGCCGTAGCCCCGGCTATTTTCTACTGCCTCTTGTGAGCGTTTATTCCTGGACGATGAATGCCAGTCTAAGCCGTCTGGTGTTTTATATTGCAGAGATCAGTCGCCCCAGCCTGTTTTCTTGCGATCTCATATAGGCTGAGCCGGCGGGAGCTAGTTTATGCCTATCCACATTCCGATTAAGAAATAAACAGGTAAAATTTGAAGTGAGGGCCGTGTTTCTAACGACGAACAATGTTGAGAAAAAAACTTGAGGGAAAACCCCGGGGTGGGAAGTTAGTCGGGAATTTGAGGGGTTCTCGCTGAAAAGCTGCTTATTTGGTTAAAGCATAAGTCAAACATATGCTGTGTTCACATGGGTAGGCAAAAAACCCAAACTACTCAGTTACTTTTAAGCACCAAATGCTAATTGATAAATATCAGAAGAGCTGACTTCCGTCTCAGGCCTTTCACTCGGCCTTTCCTTCGGAGACTGAAATGACAAGTTACAGCTCCTAGGCCGCAAAAATGAACTGGGCGGGGTCTCGGCACTGCATGATTACTCTCAGATAAGGGGATCGGACCGTTTGAAGTCGCTGGATCTCAATTCGGTGTTGTGTTTTTCGAAGAAGTAGCTTACCCACGTACCGCGATGTACGCCTTCGCCCGATTTCAATAACACTCTCAGCAAGTGAAGACTATCGAATTTGGTGCTGGTGTACGGAAGTACTTCGTGCCTGCCCATATCAGCATTCTCCGTATGGACCTTGGTGTTTCAGTTCAACGTCCTCTAGACTAGAAATTGCAAAAAGACTCCCACGACTTAAGTGGACAATGCTGATGTTTCCATCCGTGTTCTGTAAAACATTCTGATGATTTGTCATCGTGCAAATTTAGTTGGGTCACCTAGTACAGTCGCCTGTGGTTGCGAATGCACGTAAGCTATGCGCAACACCTGACTAAAACTATCTCTGCTGACAGCTGATGTTGGGAGGTTATGCGAGCAAGGTTAGGGACGCTACTCTCAGGTAACATCTAAACTTTCAAGATTGGCCTCTGCATTGGGGTGAAGGGACGGGATTTCTGCCAGGTCACTCCTCGGGCAAATAGAAGGCAAACACAAGAATCCGCATTCGGCAACTCGAAGCTGTGTGCCAGGGACTGCGGCGACCCTAAAACAGTTGACAGGTGTCACCACAAACTGGCTCTTCTATTAATGAGGGGATTTGAGGTAGTGGGCGAATGTGGGAGCCCCTCACAAACCCGTTCATGTTTTCGGCCAACCGGAAGGCGGTTGATAGCAACGGGGTGAAAGACCTCATTGCGATGAAAAACGACTTCGCCACCTTCCCATCCTGTTTTCGGTAAGGGTGTTCATTGCGTCCATCGTCAGTTATCCGCACAATATCGAGATATCCCAATTGTATTGGTCGAACTGCAGTTATGTTGATTTTTAGCATGAGGACAAAAAAATTTCCCAGTCATTTGAGGCGGGGCCACCCTTTAGCCGGATGTACTTCGGAGGGCGGGGGATGTGCGGCTCAACAAACACAGAGATCTTTGTGGTTGTCGAATCCAAGGATTTCGATCATAGAGGATTACAGTGTTTTAATGAATATTGATAAATGCCCCGGCGGTCTACTATCAAAATTTCGCCTTGATTATCCTGTATGGAGTAAATTTACTCCAGCCGGGCTGAGATGACCCGACCCACTAAGCTGCCAGGGAACATCCTCAAACCTCGACCAGCTTTTGCAAATCGCCCCGATCGAAAACCGGCAGGGCAACGGGCTCGTGGCCCGGTGAGTAGAGGCGTTGACTTCTAAACCAACAGGTCGCGAGTTCGAGGCTCGGGTGTTCCACACTTCGGGCTTGGGTATGGCTGGCTGACAACGGCTAATAAGCCAGAAATGGCCATCCCAGTCTCCCTTGTCTTTGTCGGTAATAACATTCTGCCTAAATCGCAAAATTGTCTAGTAATCATCCAGTGCCTGGAATAAGGTGAAGTTTTGCCGGGCATACACAAGAGCTAGACTCGGAAATACTTGTAAGTGCTCCCCTTAAATCCTGCTTCTGTCCTCCCGACAAACGCATTCAGTGGCAACGTCAGTACTGGCTTGAAGAAGATATTTAAAATATCTGGCGCCTCAACCCCGAGGAAAGCACAAAACACATGTCAACAACAGGGCCGAAGAAAACGAACCACATGCTTGTGAGGCTGAAACCAACTGTAGCAAGACCAAGGCGAGTTGCAGTATAACTGACTGACTCGCCAGGTAGCGA